CCCTCCCTTCTTTCTTCTCCCTCCCCGCCCTCCCCCGAAAACGAATAGGATGGCTTCACTGGTCAACTCTTTTACATTCACGAACAAAGAAAGCAGAGGAACGTCCACCCTTCCACCATCCGACCTTGCGCTGCCGTAGCCTCCGCCAACCTCCCCGGAGCTGTCAGTCCAACCATCGCCTCTTTACCTGGAGGCTTCTTCCTTGAGCTCCTTGTTTTTCCTCACTTCTTCTGCGTGTTTGTCCTGTGGGAGGGGGGTAGGAGGGAAGGAGGGGGACAGGCGTTAGCTGGACAGACTTCGGGGGATCCCCAACAGGCGGGGCAAGCAGCTTCGGAGGGGGTCGGAGGTGCGAGGTTCATCCCTGGAGGGACACCACCGATGGGTCACCAGCATCCTCTCCTCCCCCGGGGTGTTTTAAGGAGTGTGGAGACACTCGGGGACAGATTGTCCTTGCCCTCTAGCTAGGAGGTAGACGTCAACCAGACGGGATGGAGCGGGAGCCCCAAGGAGATGGGGTTTAGCTTGGATTGTCCTTCATTATCTCGTGCTCTCTGCCTCTGACCCAAGGCTAGCTGAGGCGTTTGGAGAAGGGCACTGGGCGAGCTCCGTGCAGAAGGGATGTTTTGGAGGGAGCTGGAGGTGGTGAGGGTGGGACCTTCCATGCTGAGGTTGGGAACAGACCTGCTTCAGGGAGAGAGAAGAGGTCTGCACAGGCTGGGAGCATCTCCTAGCATGGCAGCACGGACCCCTCCAGCTCCACTGGGGAGCTGATGGCTCCATGGCCTCTGGGGAAGGGACCAGGGGAAGATCTACCACCCAGAAGGTGGGAAAATTGCAAGTGGTGGGTCAAGACCATCATGGTGGGACATGGGGAAAGAAACAGCTTTGCATCTCCGTGGACAAGATACAGGTCCCAGCTCTCCACCCATTGACCACTCTTGAGCCTATGGACATGTCAGGCTCGATGGGTCCCCAGGCAGGACCCCCACCCCGGGTGGGATACTGCTTTTGGGTATTGCTGCATGGTGGGAAGGGAAGAGGGGGCCGCCCCTTTGGTGGTGTCCCCAGGGGGTAATGGCACCCCAAGAGCCATGCAGGGTGCCCAAGTGTCCTGTGACGCCCTCCTGCACTGGTGTCCCAGCATGTCCCCCCTCCCTCCTCACCAGGGTCTCACCTTCTCCTGCAAGCGCTCCAGCATGGCGGCTAAATGGGCCTCGCGGTTCTCCTTGTTGGACTCCATCTTCTGCGCCAGCTTCTCTTTGGCCATTTTGATGAAGTTGTTGTTCTCCTCGATGGCCTTTTGGATGACCTCCCGCTCATGCTCCCGCTTCTCCGCCAGATGCTTCAGCAGCTCAGCCTCTTGGTACTGCACAGGCAAAGGGGACACCATGGCCATGGGGACCATGGGTCTCTTCCCCTCCTGGCCATGGGGACCATGGGTCCCTTCCCCTCCTGGCCAAAACCGCCCTCTCCAAACCCAGCAACATCCCCAAGGGTGGGTGCACCTTGCTGGGTGACCACCTTGAGTGCAAGGTTGCGTGTCCCCACGTCACGTCCCCATGTAGGAGCCACCAGACCCACCTTCCTCCTCTCTTCTGCCGCCTCCAGCTTTTTCTGGATCTCCTCCAGGGACGGGTCACGGCGCCGGGGCAGGGAGGCGTTGAACTCGGGGATGCCGTCGAAGGATGGGGGCTTCAGGATGACCTCGAAGGACTGCCCCGAGGTCCGCTTGTTGAGCTCGATGACTTCCATGTCGGAAATGACGCACCAGGTGAGGTCTACCGTGTCTGCTGGGAGAGGGGTGTGGGCTGACTGGTGGTGTGGGCGCATCCCACCCCTTCAGGCACATCATCCTGGGGTCCCACTACCCACCCATGTGCCACCACCTTCCCCCATCTCCACTGGTTTCACCCAAATCCCTGCACCCCGAATGCATCCTTGAGGTTCAACCCCAATGTCATTGGTTGGAGTAGGGACTCCAAGACACCCACCAACCGGGTTGAGGTTGACCCCACTCATGCACGGGGGGGTCTGCAGCTCCCTGCAGCCTTGGGTGGGCTCCTACCTTCGTACGTGTACGCCGGCTTGTTCAGGGGGTCCGAGAGGAAACAGGAGCAAAAGAGGGAGACGAGAGGCAGCTCCTTCATCTTCTCTTTGTAAGCTGGGAAGAGATGGTGGGGTTGGGGTCAGAGGGGTGGAGGGTCCTGCCAGGCACTGGGGCAGGGTTTGCCACATGCCAGGGAAGGGCTGGGATGGGGGCTGGCACCAAAGTTTGCCCAGATATCGCAAACAGGGTGGTCTGGGTGTGTGGGGGAAGCAAGGTGTGCAAAGGGGAAACTGAGGCATGCAGAGGCGGGGGGCTTTACTCATGGACACATGGGTTCTGTCTGTCCTGGTGTGTTAACCCTACGCACGACCCCTTGCCTCCCACCACTGGGATGCTGCAAGGTTGGGTTCATGGGGTTGGGTGAGCTGTGTTGTCCCCATGCGTGTCCCAGTGATGGTGACATACCAGCCAGAGTCATGGTGTGACAATCCTTGGGCGTCTGCAGCAAGAGCCTTCCTGAGGGAGGAAAAAAAGAGACAGGATCAGGGCGGGATGTCCTGGGGTTGGGGACATCGCCCAGCCCTGCCCACCTGTGTCTGCCCACTGTGGGGTGTCCTGGGGGGGGGACACACTGGTGTGATGGGACAGAGATGGGGGTTGGTGTGATGGGTACATGCTGTTGGGATGAGCACACACTGGTGTGATGGGCGGGGACACT